CTCGCGCCCCCAGCGCGCCAGTCCCGGGGCTGCAGGGAGCGCAGCGCGCGCGGCCCGGGCCCCGGCCACCGGACGCCCTACCGGACACGACCCTCCCTGGAGCTTGGACAACTGCCCACCTCGGACACTGCACCGGACACTGCCCCCCACAGGGCTGGACACTACAACGGACACTACTTCCCAGCTCCGGACATTGCTCCCTCCTCTCCCCGGCCCTGGACGCTTTTCCCCCTCCCCATCTGGGGGGCCCGACACCGAGCCCCCCTCGGGTTCTGGCTAGCTTCCCCTTGCACCCTAGCGTCTCCGGACACTGCCTCCTGCCTGTCCCCTTCTCTCTCCTCCTCCCCCCACCTCGTCGTCCCCCTGCTCTGTTCGGAGCCCTGCCAGTTTCCCCGACTCCCCGCTGCTCGGCCGCGGCTGTCCGCGCCCCCATTCTCCGGCTCCTCGCCCGGATGCCTCTCCCCGGGGGATTGTGGTGGCTCCTCTGCTGCCGTCGAGGCTTCACTCTTCTGCACCGGGACTACGGGGACGGCGAGCTTAGCGGGGACGGGGACGAGGACGAGGACGAGGAAACCTTTGAGCTACGGACCCCGAGTCCAGCGGGCGGCGGGAGGGTAAGTCCCGGGGGGTTTGGAGCCCGTCTCCACCACTCTCTCTCCAACCGGCCGTCCCTCCTGACCCCGCGCCATACTCCAGCGCAGCGCCGCGCGCTGGGCTAATCGGGGACGTGGGGGAAGTCTTTGCCTGGGGGCTGAAGCCCCTGGAGCTCCCGGCGCAGCAGTCCTACGCAGGAGGTGCCTGTGGGCCTCGCGCTGCACGCTGAGCGCTGTCCACCTGCTGGGGGCCCTGAGGCAGGGGAGGCGTCACGCGTGGCCCGACCTGGCCCTGCCTCTCCCTTCCTCACCGAGTCTGCGTCCCATCCCGTCTCCTTCCGCCTCCGCCAGCGCCCAGGAATGTGGTGAGGCCGGCTGGGCGGCTCGAGCGCCTGGGTCCCCTCCGCTCCCAGTTCGCCTGTGCTGCCAGATGCGGGAGCTCCCGCCGCGGGGACCTGGGCGAGGGGGAGAAGGCATCCTAGGATCGGGGTCCCTAGCCGGGACCCCGCGGAGAGGGAGCTGGGGACCATGGCTCTTTGAGGCCCCCTCATCGTTACCCGGCCACTCAGGACTGAACTCTGGGCCTTCCCTGGTAAGGCTCTTGGGAAATCCCTGAGGGGATGGTGAGGGACACTCGGCTGCCTGGTCTTGTCCAATATCTCCGTGGGGCAACAGGCACAACTGGTGTTGGAGACCTCTATCCCGAGTCTCCTCCCCTATTTCCCCTGTACACGGCCACCAGACTGCTGTGTGCTGTGGCCCAGGTCAGGCTCCCATCCCCCACTCAGGGGTCCCCAGCAGGCCTGGTGGCTCAGTGCCCGGCTGGGGCCGGCGCCAGCACCTGGCGGAGGCGGAGGGTGGATAAATATAGAGGGAGGGAGGGAAGCAGGGGACTGTGATGAGGGGAGTGCGAAGAGGGTGGTCAGTATCTGCTACTGGGGTGGCGGGGCTGAGAGCCCCACTCAGACCCTCCACAAAAAGGGTGGATGTCCACCTAGGGAAGCTGCAGGACCCAGGCACCCCCAAGCGTCCCGCCTGGGCAGGATTGGCTCTGTCAACCAGGCCATTGCCTCCATGCTCCACCTCCACTCCCCCCTCCCTGGAGCTTGGGGACAGGTGTCCCTGACCCCCCTCCCCCACCTCCCCCTCCTGGCTCTAGCAGCCTGGGCGCAATGTGAAGGTGGCACAGTTCCCGCCTGGCTGGTCTCTGAGTCGGGTTGGTGGCCTCCCTCAGACCCCAGTCTGCACTTGAAGTTCCAGGGCAGGGGGTGGGGGAGGGGTTGTGGGGAGGGCAAAAGCGAACTACACCTGCCTCCAGAGGGTGTGTGGTGTGCAGTGCCAATGCTAGGCCTGCCCTCCTGGGCCCCAGCAGAGGGGCTGGGTCTCTACTCTTTGCTGAGTGCCCTGGGAGAATATAAGAAGCTCTTGGAGACAGTTGGATGGCGAAGAGGTCCCTTTTCCCTTCATCCACCTCTACACTCACAACCTGTCCGCCCGGCCAGGAGGCTGAGTGGGTGAAGGGAAAATGGGGAGCAGGGGGTGACTTTGAGCCTGCCAGAGCGAGTGCACCCTTTCTGTTTCAAAACTGGTGAAAGTAAGGCCCAGAGAGGAGGAGAGGTGCCCAAAGTTCCACAGTGAACTAGTGGTGAAGCTGGTATTAGAAGCCAGGTCTCCTGACTCCCTGCCCAGTGCTCTTTCAACCCGGCCTCATCCCCTGCTGCTACCCTATCTTCAAAGGGTAGCAACCACAGGGCACAAGCCAAAAAGCCTTGGCTTCTGAGCTCGTGCTGTTCAGTAGGGCTTATCTGTAGAAAACGGCAGGAGGGACAAGCCCAAGCGCTCCGCCCCAGCCACGACCCCATTCCTTGACACCCTCCTCAATCCCCTGGGCAGAAGGTACGGACATTGCTCGGGGAGGGCTCTGACCCTGAAAACTTCCCTGCCTGTCTCCCCAGGGTCCCCTGGACGTGACGCTGACTCAGCCGGTGAGGAGCGGGCCAGTTTCCAACAGGTGAGCCACGCCCCTGCGTCCCTAGCCTGGAGACCCCAGCCCGTCCCCCGGGACCCCCATCCTTGCCGTCTTCCCTCACGGTTGTGCAATAAGGGAGAGGCCCTACGCCGGACGCTGTGGTTTGGCCAGGGTCCCAGGGGTGGGGGGGGCGGTCTGGCCAGGGGTGCGGGGAGGAAGGGGGGTCCGGGCTATTTCTGGTGCGAGGTCAGAACGGCCCGTCGGTTCCCACAGCCTGGGGGAGGGGTGCCCGCCTTGGAAGCAGGCACCCCTTGCAGTCTGGGGAGCCCCTACTGAGGAGCCCCCTAGAGGCAAAGCGAAGGCCCGGCAGCCTCGCCCAACCCTTCCTCCCCTCTGGCCCAGGCTGCAGAGCTGGGAGGAGACGTGGAGTCTCATCCCAGAGAAGGGGCTGCTGGAGGACGACCCGGACGTCGTTGTGAAAGGTAGAGACCCCCACCCTCCGTGCACTCTGGAGGCCCCCAGCCTCAACCCTCCAGGGGATAATGTTTCCTTCTGCTGATGCCCCTTCCCTCCCCCTCTCCCCCCTCCCCTAGGGTGGCTCTACCGCGAGCCCCGCGGAGGGGGTGCACGGCCCTGGCTGTCCCCGCGCCGAGCCTGGTTCGTGCTCACACGGGACTCCCTGGACCAGTTCAGCAGCAGTGGGAAGGGGGCGCGGCGCCTTGGGAGCCTGGTGCTCACCAGTCTGTGCTCGGTGACCGGCCCAGAGCGCAGGCCCAAGGAGACCGGTGAGCCCTTGAGGGAACCCTCCTACCTTCCCAGGCAGGGGTTCCAGCCGGCCTTGATTGCCCTCTGCGGTCTCTCTTTCCCCAGGTCTGTGGTCAGTGACTGTGTCTGGCCGGAAGCACAGCGTTCGTCTCTGCTCCCCACGCCAGGCCGAGGCGGAGCGCTGGGGGGCAGCATTGCGGGAAGTGATCGCCTCCAAGGCCCCACTGGAGACGCCCACCCAGCTGCTGCTCAGGGACATACAGGTGAGAGAGTGGACTCCCGCGAGAGCCAGGAGAGAGGTGGACTCCAGAGCTTTCTGGGCTCATACGGAACTCCCTTCCCCACCTCGGTGATCCTCCTTCTGGACCCTAGGAGAGTTGTGGGGACCCAGAGGCTGTTGCTCTCATCTACCTGCGGAATCCAATTCTGAGACACACCAGTGGAGCCTTGTATGCCCCACTCCTACCCCTGCCCTATGGAGTCAGCGCCCCAGGTGAGTGGTCCCATGGCCCAAGTCCCCTGGATGGAATGGGGTGGGTGAGAGGTAAGAATCTGAATGCCTTCACGGGCAGGTGTGTAAGGGGCCTAGTAGCCCCTCACTGTTCAAAGGAAAGGATGAAGGTGAGGCTGGAAGCTGGCCAGGATGGGGGGCAGAGAAGCCATGTAAAGGTGGAAGCCAGACACCTCTCTATGGGTCTCATTCTGACCACTGATACTCCCTCACAGGGGGTTTGTACACTCTCTTCTATTTTTTTCACTGTACTCTTTTTTTTTTTTTTTTGAGTTGGAGTCTCACTCTGTCACCCAGGCTGGAGTGGAGTGGCTCAGGGCCACCGCAGCCTTGACCTTGTGGGCTCGGGTGATCCTTCCACCTCAGCCTTCCAAGTAGTTGGAACCATAGGCATGATTGTTTAAATTTATCGTAGAGATGAGGTCCTGCCATGTTGTTCAGGCTGGTCTGGAACCCCTGAGCTCAGGCAATTCCCCGCCTCCACCTCCCAAAGTGCTGGGATTACAGGCATGAGCCACTGTACCCAGCTCATTGTACTCTAAAGTCCGTGTCCTGTTGCCTTTACAAGTGGTAGAAAGGCCATCACTTGGGAGAACGTGCTGTCCTCATTCAGCTGTGCGTCTCCTCAAATGGTGTAGTGATTGGCCCAGGTCCTGAAGCCAGAGGACTAGAGGTGCTAGGAGAAGAGTTCTGCTTTCAGACATGTAGTCCATCCTGTGTTCCACCCATGGTGATGGCCCATAATACCCAGTCACAGAATCTGGGATTTGAACCTGCGTCTCTTAGTCTGTCTCTCTGCCTTACCCAGAGTCCAGGCTTAATGGGATGGGGGAGGAATTCGTGGGGGACAGGGTTTGAGAGTTTGGCTCCATAGGACCATGGCTTCCCCTTCACTCTTCCTGTCATTGGTACTCCTTCCCTCCTTGCCAGTCCCTCTCCCCTCATACTCCCTCTGACCTTCTCCTGGTTCATGCCTTCCTCCCAGGGCTCAGCTCTGTGTCCCCTCTCCAAACCGTCCCTCCGCCCCTGCCATATCACAGGTCCTGGCTATGCACCCTTGCGCGAGGAGGCTGTGCGGCTGTTCCTGGCACTGCAGGCACTGGAGGGAGCACGGCGCCCTGGGCCCTTGATGCAGGGTGTGCTCCAAACCTGCCGAGACCTGCCTGCGCTCCAGGATGAACTCTTCCTGCAGCTGGCTAAGCAGACCTCAGGCCCTGCGGGCCCCCCGGGGCTCCCCGCTACCCAAGACCCTGCAGCCCTGCGGTACTGGCAGCTCCTCACGTGCATGAGCTGCACCTTCCGGCCTGGGGGAGCTGTCCGGGGGCACCTCCTGGGCCATTTGGAGAGGTGAGAGGGGAGGGGTACAGGTAAGGCCGAGCAGGGGAGCTACAGGGCTGGGAGAGAGTGAAAAGCCTTTGCCAAAAGGTTGGGTAGATGCACCAAGATCCAGAAAAGGGAAAGGACTTGCCCAAGGCCAGGGCTGACGGTGCGACTTACAGTGTCTTTGCGGGAATTACAAGCTCGTGTCCCGTGTGTTAGCCGGTGAATTACAATAAGGCGCCCCCTTTGGGCAGAGGAATTTTTAGAAGGCTGCTCTTCCAAGGGCTGATGCAGGCCAGCGCTAGGGCTTAGACAAAGTAAAGTGGCTGGATTTGGAATTTCAGCGGAGAGCACGCAAGGACAGATTTAAAGAGGCCTTCAAGGATCGTGAGTGTGTGTGTAGTGTGTATGTGTTGTGTGTGTGTGTGTGGGGGGGTGATGAGATAGGAAGGGGGAGAAGCACTGATCTTTGGGTTCCCCAAACTCAGGACCGAGCGGGCACTCCCGGACTCGGAAATGGCGGAGTATGCGCGCTTCATCCGGAAAGCGCTGGGCCGGACGCGCGGCCGAGAGCTGGTACCCTCGCTGGCAGAGATTTCCGCGCTGAGCCAGCGGCAGGAGCTGCTGTGCACCGTGCACTGTCCCGGGGCTGGGGCCTGCCCCGTGGCCATCGACTCCCACACCACAGCAGGGGAGGTGAGGCCCGAGGAACGGCCCAGGCACTCCCAGCCCGCCCTTCCAGCTTCTCACACCAGACTCTCCCGGTTCCTCTGCCCTAGGTTTGCCCTAGTCTCAGATTGTTTTGGTAAGGGAGGGAGTGGTGAAGACAGGACCTGGAGACCCCTTCCAGCTGGATCAGCCCCTCCCAGAAGCTTGGCAAGACCTCTGGGTGGTCTGACTTCCCCCTCCTCCTCCCTCTCTCCTAGGTGGCTCGAGAACTGGTGGGGCGGCTGGGTTTGGCCCGGAGCCGCAACGCATTCGCACTGTACGAGCAGAGAGGGGCCCAGGAGCGAGCCTTGGCTGGTGGGACCCTCGTGGCCGACGTGCTCACCAGGTTTGAGAAGTAAATGTCCAGCTCCAGCCCTGCTCTCTAGTAACCCGTCCACTGAACGCTTTCGGCCAGTGGCTGCGCAGACATCTCTCCAGCGTCTGCCACTCGCCCTGTGCGTTTGCTGGCGGACAGACGGGTCCATGCCCGCGGGCGGTTTGCAGTCTGACTTCTAGGAGCACCTCCGCGGTCGACTGGGCCCGGGCCCCACCCTCAACAGACGGCCCTGCCCTGTCCCTCGCTGCAGGCTCCTTGTGGAACCCTCCCTCCCTCCCCGGTCCCCCCCCACCCCCCGTTTTCCTCCACATGGCGCCCTTTTCTCTTCTGTAGCTTGGCGACGGAGGAC